ATTGTCAAATCAACGCTACTTTACAGTCACTTTCAGCCTGCAGTTTATTACACTAAAATTAAATGGGCTAAAAAACTGCATATCCGAAATTTTTCCAAAAATATTATTAACTTATTCACTGCAGGTCATTAGGATAACGCACCGCTTTGTAATATTTTTTTTTTGCATTTCTCGGACCTAAACCAAATTAGTATGGAACCACCTCTGAGGTACCACCTTTCCTTTAAAAAATGAATTATAGACATCGGCTAACGTAAACCAAAGTTATGCGATGACATATATAAAACAAAATATTCCTATTGAAAACCTCTTCCCTTTTTTGAAATTGGTTAATGAATAGATATAACAAGTGAGACCATTAGACACGGTAAACTTTTCATTAAAAACTCAAAGAAAATAACTTTATACTTCTCCTGCCACCTGCCATCTACTTATTGATTACTGTTAAATTTTTAAACATCGACTGAAAGCTACACGGTTTCTCCACGCGTTGCATATACACCAGCGATGGGCAGAGAGAGCTTTTACTCTGCACGCGACTATATAAAATGTATAGAAAGCTTAAAAGAGCTTTGCCCGCGGGCAGGGCGATGCCCATCACCGATATACACGGTTAAAAATTTCGGTTTTCATTTTAAACTTTTTGGACTACATATATGACCAAAGTAAATTTAGTTTCAAATACAAACATTCCAAGTTTAAAACAAATAGAGCACATATGTAGGGTTTAGAATTTGAACACTTCGGTTTAAATTTTAACATTTTCTATTATAATAAGAATAAAAAAAAATCTTAAATTTCATGCTCCGTCTGATGGGGATTGAACCCGGACAGCCTTGGTAGCAACCAATTGTATCAAGCATCTTTGCACACTCAGCAATGTAAACGCATGTAAATGTGCTTTCATATGTTGAGTTTGAATCAACATTTCGCTGTGTTGATGCTGTCAGTTCATAAGATTTGCTCTCTCTCTCTCTCTGAGAGACATATATAATATAGGCCTATTGAGGCAAACATTTCCTACATCGGTTTAGATTTTAAACAAAATTTTCTAAATATGAAACGTAGAAACTAGAATTACAAATTTTCAATCAAAACAGCATCTACATCTGTTTTTTTTTTTTACTTTTATTAAAATTCACGATCCGAAAATCTAGTTACGCAACCCTGTATGTGAAGCCCTTATATGTCTATATAGATATAGAGATACATAAGCACGCACATAAGTGGTGACCCCATGCTAGCAAAGAAACAGGCATTCAAAAATGGGTAACGTCCCTTCAGAATTGCAGAAAGTTTTGCAAAACTCGTTCACAGAAGAAGTCTTTCCACTTTCACGCCAACCCAGTTCACGGACGACGGCCAACGGACGCGCATACCTTCTTAGCAACCATTTTACTAAGCTCCTTTTTAGACAATGACGAAGTAACCAGCAAAATATGACATACTTACGCAGATTTGTATTTATTATAATTAAATGCACATTCACTCATTTCACTCCAATGCAAACTTTTATATGCTAAGGTGCAAGCAGAAGCCATAATCACATATGACAATGCTCAAGTTTTGCCACTTGAAACGAAAATTTCTACACTTCAGTTATGCTGGCGGCAAATAAAAGTGCCAGCATCTGCACAACTGTCCTGCATATATATATCATTATATAAATAGGCAATCATGTTTCCTTTACACCCCTTTTACGGCTAAACTATACTTCTAAGGTATAAACATTTATATATCATTAGAAAGGTATTTTGATGCTGATGTGCAGGCAATTTTTCAAATTTCAAATTAGTTTAAAATAGAGCGAAAAAATCAATTCAAAAGTCACACCAATACCAATGCCATACATGTACATGGTTGGGGCGGAAATGCCTCCTAAATGTATGCTTTTATATTGATACTGAATTACAGAAACGTGCTAAGCAGCAGTTCAGGAATAAAATGTATGTATGTGTGTACATGAATAGATTAGACTCAAACAAGGAAGAAGGTAAAGTTGAGTATGGAGAAGAAGAAAGTGATAAATACAGAAATTAAAATAAAAGTAAAGAAACCTAGATATAAAGACAAAGAGGAAGGAAAATTTAAATACCTAACCTAATAACAATGGTGGGGGTGAATATGTAAATGAAGAAAAGAATGGACATATTTAGATCAGGATAAAGGAAAAGATAAAGATGAAGACCAAGACGACGAAGATGAAGATGAAGATGAAGATGAAGATGAAGATGAAGATGAAGA